AACCCTGCAGGAGACGGGACCTCCATTTATTCGTCCCTATCCGAGAAGACTAGAATATCTAGCCATTTCTTGATGTTATAGAAAGGTAGCATATTCTTCTCAGTTATTTTAAGACCTTGAGTGTTGGTCTGGCCGGGGCTTGAACCCTCGACCTCCCGCACAACAGTCCAGCGCTCTATTCATTGAGCTAACCGGGAGGCGGTTGTTTGAAAATATTGTTACTTGGTTGAGCGAGTCGGCTTTTTAAACTATTGAAAACAGGGTTTGACGGTGTCAGGGTACGTATAAGCTTCTTGCAAGCTTCTTCGCGCCTATCCGCAAGCGTGGCAATCTGAGACGCAGCTAGCGCATCTGCATATGTAAGGTTCGGAAAAACAATGGCAAGTGCACGTTTCTGGACCTCCTCTAGGGCCTGCGACAAGTACTGTGGAAGATTGGCGAGTGTAGGTGTCGCATATTCCAGAAGAGGCCCAATGAGCGTGCAGTACACCCCGACAATGTCACCTTGGGACACTCCACAGCGCTTGAGCGTTCTGAGGGCATATAGCCTGCGGATGGCTCTCTTAACTATATAGTCCGTGTGCTCCCCCCATGTCAAGTCGCTTGATGAATAAACCCCGAGAGATTTAAACGACTTGACACACTCAATTACAGATCCGCCGGTTACCAGGGGAGGGCAGACAACGCTATTATAGAGAAGAAAGTCCACCGCCATAGATTTACACTTCTTGGGGTTAAGGGACATATTATTATCTGAAATATTATTCAGTTTATCTGTTTAAGTCAAACTGCATTTTCCTTTGTTAAAAGGAAAAGCCTAAACGGCCTGACTTTTAAGACATGTATGTCTGGTTAAAATATGTAAGTTTCTGCCATAATTTGCTAGCCACTGCCATATTGAAAATAACGCTACCACATTACAACGCAGTTAGAGTGTCCACACTACCTGCCTTCTTACCGGCTTTAAATCCATATCATTCCAGTTTTGGTGTGACAGGATGGCTGTTAACCTCCTGAAGAAATAATTCCGTGATTACTACACCCCACCAGAAAGACAAAAATGAAATTGTTGAAAGGTTAAAAAGAAAGGGATCCTTGGAATTGAAACACAACGTGATATGTTTAAACTCGTATTCATTACATCGCTGGCAGCGCCCGTGGGCAATGTGAGGCGAATCCCATGTTCTGACTGGCTTCCCGAGTGGGAAAGATAAGCCGGGATTGCCCGCTTTGATCCTGCGCATGAAAACGTTGAATTGGTGCTAAGTTTGTAATTCTTAGACAACGTCAGTAATGGAAAATCAAAAGCGACAGAAGATTGTCAGAACAAATAAAACAGAAGCGATTCCCGTGAGCTTTTTGTCCTAATCACACAGTAAGCTTTCTTTCCCAGCTCTTGAGATGAACAATTCATTCTTAAATCTTACCAAAGCGAAATATTTTTGCATCTGTAAGACCTTGGATCCTTTATTGACCTAGCTTGTTCGGTCAAGATGGCTAAATATTACACTCGTTTTCTCCTCTATCTACCTGATTTAAAATCACAAGATTTCAGACCAAAATTGGATGACATAAAGTTCAATTGTCACTTCATTACATCCAATTTGAAAACCCCAAGTTCAGGTGCTCAATTCAAGTTTTTTTGAGTCTGTACAAATATTTTATTATGCCAGTATAAAGAAGCTAGTTTGTAAAAAGTTGCCAAAGTTGTCACTCATATTTCTACAATTTGACTGATTTCTCTAAATGACCCTTAAAATGTTAATGGTTGTTGTGTTTTAGTAAAGCTGTCCCATTGGCTGGGAAAAAGATGCGATTCAGAGGATAAATGGTGTGATTTGTAAATAAATTGCACCAGTGAGAGCCAATCAGAATACAAGGATCACAAGTGATTTTTAAAATACAAATATCGTAATAACTTCAAGTTCTTATTATTTAAAAATAACTAGATGTTATCCTAGCTATAGCTAAGTTAACAAGCATAAGGATGTCCATTTTATTAAAAAGGCATAAAATGTAAAACTAACAAAATGCCCCTTGGGGGATCATGGGTACAAATAACTTTACAATCCCAAACAATTTATTAACTTGTTTTCCAGTAAAGAACATTATATGCAACTGCCGTTTGAATGTATGAAATGACTCCTCTTGGTAGTTTTCAGCGATTGAAGCACATCCAGACATGTCTAGTCACAGAAAATGTAATTTCTGACGTTTGAGTGTCATGGGAACGAATAAGTCAGAAATTAATATATTAATATTCTGACGGCACGTTGAAGATTATTTAAGCGTTCCGTGGGAAAATTAAGTCATTCTAGGTCGCTCAGTCTTAGGTTTGACCACTTTCGTTTTTCTTATTTAATGCAGGTGATTTTTTTTTACAACTCTCTGTGATTAGTAGTGTAACTTGGTTTATTTCAATTACCCTTTTCTCGGGGTATAGTGCTGCTGTGTTACCACATATTTTGGCCACTTCTAAAGAGTGGTTTTTTAGTGGTTTTTTGTTTCTGGCGTAGCACAGGCCATTTTTGTATAACCCTTCAGTTTAAGTCAATGCTTGCAGTACATTGAAGATCGTAGTCAGATATGTCTACTTCAAGACTCAGGCTGACTCACCTTAAATAAACTTTCACAATGAATATCTTGTAGTCAGAATATGTACTGATCCTGTAAAAAAAAAAAAAAGGTATAAAAACATGATTTCAAAAGACAGAAGTTTATTCGATTCATTTCTCTCCAACAAAATCAGGATTTGGAATAAACATTTAAAAACATACGGCCTATTCAACCCTAATTTGACCCTTAAGAGTGACAAGCATCTAATTTCTCCTTACAGAGTCACCCCTGAATCAGACATTAATGTCATGAGAAGAGAGGAAGTGATCACCAAAACAACAAGCTCTTGATTGTTAAACAAATTCTTTTTGTCAGCACCCTAGGAAATGTAGAGAGAACAGTATGGAGAATATGCATACTGATGTTAAGGTGTAAAGGGTTAAAGAAAAGACATATCACTCTCTGGTTTAACCTCTTTACCCCCTAGATGTAACTGTCAATTCGTTCTCCCAGCTTCTACACATTTCCTTGTAAACTTAAGTTATGAGAATTCAGTGTTCACTCAAAATAATAAATTCTTCCTTGTAAGTTTGAACAATTGCATTACCTGTTTGCTGGATAACGTATTTGTATCATAGAGAGGTTACATGCTAATCACTTCTGGGAGTTTAAAAGGGTTACAGATGTCCTAACCTAAAATGGATCAGCACAGTTTCTTATCTTTGTGGTGTACTTAGTGCAACAAAGCTAAATATTTTCCATGGTCTCTTTATAATTTGCAAATAACATTATAGAAAGAAACAATCCAATATAGGTGTACATGTCCTCACTTTGGTTTGAATCATGCCCTGTCACTGCTCACACAGATTCCTGACAATTTTATTAACATCAAACTTCAAATTAGAAATCACAGCCAGAAGATTAATATTTGCTTTCATTTGAGATCTTCCTAAGGTCGGCAATCTTACTAGGCCCCTTGACAATATGCCAAGCAAACTGACCAGCTATAAACATGATGTAGACTAGGTGCTTAGCTAAACTCACTCATATTAATAAGGTAATTAATCGAACACAAAAATACTATGTTGACTTCAAAAGAAATCAGTGTGTTATATGTTGGGCTACCTGTGCCCTTTTTACCATATAAGGAAAACCTCATGGTGAGCTCGAGCGAGCAATAACAGAGAGTGACCAACCAGCACTATTACTGTGTTTAATGGTAGTTCATTTAATGTTATACTTTCAAATATATTACACAGTGTTCTTTGATTTGTAAGAAATATAGCCTACCAATAAATCTCTCTCCATGAGACCCATGGCCACATCAATAGTGATGAGAGCTCCAGTCCAACCTATTCCCACACTACAGCAGGGGAAAAAATAAGAAAAATTCAGACACTAGTTCCCTTAACATTGCTGCTGTGCCGGGTTAGTACCTTGATGTCAGATAACAAAGAGTAATGAAATGGGCTTCAGTGTTCCTTAGTGCTATTATATTTTGGAATAATTACTCAAGTGATTACAAAGAGATAGGCAGACTGATTGGTTGACAGCTACATAATATCTCACTGTTATCACCCAGCACAAAGTGATTACAACACTGGAGCAAAACTGGTTCTTTTCAAGACACTGGTAGCAGCTATCTAGACACTCAGGTAGCAGCTTTGCAAATTTTTCTGTTACTGTAGAAGGAAGAAATTCAAAATTTGCAGTTGCTCTACCAGTCATTGAAGTTATTTTTTTTAACTAAAAGAGTTTATCTCAAGGAATTTTTCAACATTGTTTACTTCTACTTTAGAGAATGACTGTTATGTAACACTGAAATAAATTCAGCTGCAGTGAACAACAATTGGCCCTGGACGATCAGCAAGAATCTGCTCAAATCGAACAAACTCAACCAACTCCACAGCAGCCTTGAAGCAAACAAAAACAAATTTTCAATTCAAAATACACATGCATGACAAACTTCAGTATTTAAAAAACCCACAAAAAAGCTAAACATGCCCTTGATTTTTTCACTTTAGAAATGGGTACATCGATAAAATACAATAACCCACCATTAATATTATTTAGGCTTCATTACCAGCCACTGTTAGAGAACCAGAGCCTGCACTCCTCTCAAAAAAATGAACGCGGCCTGCATCCAATTATCGTGACTTTACGCTTGGTCAATAACTCGTATACTTATAACATGTTTGACAGATGTTGGTCACGTAACGACTTCCTTCAACTGTTGTGCGTTACATTTTACGCTTTCGCTTTGAACAATGACCGACACTCAAGAAAGTGTCGATATAGACCAAATTACTAATTACCAGAGATTTGGATTCTTAGGGAGATTACTGAACAGTTTTATTGCAAGAGAATGGTTTACTTGCGGAATTATCGCGGCAGTGGTTGTTGTAGGGGCACTGTACCATCATCACTCCATCAATTCCCTAGGAGCACGCTTTGAAACAACTGTGGAGAAAATGCTTGATAAAAGGGAAAAGGGATCCAGAGCTTTCATCGCGGAGGCTATCAAAACAATCGAGTCTAATATGGCTAGAAAGTTAGGTAAGTAATTAATGTTAACTCAGAAATTTAAATGAAGACTTTCAAATTCGTGGTGAATTAAAGGTAGCCATGCGTAGCTATACATTTTGATCATGTAGAATGTATTTTTATTTGCTAGAGGAGGCTATCAAAACGTCCGAGACTAATATGGTTGGAAAGTTCGATATGATTAGAAGACTTTCAGGTAGGTAATTAAATGTTAAATTAAAATTCTAACGTCAAGTGTTCCACTACTTCCACTACAGTAAGCATCACGGTAGAGTTCGATTATCATGAAGACGCTCAAATTCGTGGTAACGGCAGCTGAGCGTAGCTATACAGTTTGATCATGGAGAATGTAATTTTATTTTGAAGAATACGATTCCACGCAACGACTTCCTTCATCAATTGTTGTGAGAAACCAATTTACTCGCGGTAAGAGATTTTACTCCTTAAGAAGAAAACTGAACCGGTCAGTGTAAAACTAAGACTGCGGACTGCAGACTGCGGAGTGCAGACTGGGGTTAAAATGCAGACTGAAGGTAAAATGCAGACTGCGAACTGTAGACCAGGGGTGAAATGTAGACTGCAGACTACAGACCAGGGGTAAAATGCAGACTGAGGGTAAAATAAAATATTAATAATAAAAACAAGACTTGGGAGTGTTCCTACGCGTACCCGTAACTTTTTTTCAAAATCCCGAAAACTCAAACCAAAAGGCGTTTATTCGCCTTTGTCAAACATATCATCCACCTCGAGTTCTTGAACTCCCCATTTTGTTGAACCAAGTTTCCCAACAGCGCCCAAACTGATCGTAATGCTATGCATCTCATATTTGTTTACATGTCGGCCATTTTGAATTGTGATTTCGCGAATAGGTCTGGGACCGAGTAGCTCTTCCAGCGTTCAAATTCTTCAGATGGCCTGGGAATTGTTTGGAAGACAAGGCAAGCAAGACACGACAGCACAACAACAATGTCGCGTTCCCGAACCAAGTCCTTGCGGGAAGTATTGATCCGAAGTTCGCCGAGTCCAACCACACACTACAGGCCTGATTTTAAACCGATTTATTCCTTGGTTACCACTGAAGCATGCGGTGAAAACTACAACATTAAAAAAATTTACGCGTTACGCAACGAAATAGCTGCGAATAGTGAGAACTCTCCGTCAACGAACGAAATAAGTGGCAGAGGATAAACTAAAATTAGAAATAAGTGGCAGAGGATAAACTAAAATTAGAAATAAGTGGCAGAGGATAAACTAAAATTAGAAATAAGTGGCAGAGGATAAACTAAAATTAGAAATAAGTGGC